TTTTGGAGAAGGTCCGATAGCTTTCTGTAAAACTCATCTTTTACATCATCTGGGCTGCAGTCAGTGGGGGCGTAGGCTGATATGACGAAGAGGCAACGGCGAGTGTCCCTATCTTTCCGAGCCCTTACTGTCCCGTTCAGTCGGACGGCGCACAAGCGACTATGAGGGCGGTTATCACTTCCCGGCTGCCCACACCGTGAAAGGTTGTTTCTTGAGGGACCTGAAAAGGAAGATAGATTAGTGTTGGTCTTGGAGACCTGGGAGCGTGACCGCAGAGTCCAAGGGATAAATGCTTGAGGCCGGTCACGCACGGCCTTTTTATGAAACGTTTTTTGAGGATTAGCTCCGTTCTTAAAGGCCCTTAGTGGGCACCCTTACCCAAGGAGACGGAAATCCATGAGTTAGGGGAGGTGTGACATTTTTAGGGCCGACCTTTTCTAACCCTTCCTTCCTTGTGAGAAGGCAGCATCGCTGCAGATGCTGGTTGTCCGAGGGAAACACCTTACTGCTGTCACATCCCTCCATCACAGTCAGCAGTACGACTTCTCCCTCAGACCTTGGGTAGCTGCTTTTAGTCTCATCGTTCTCCAATCGACCAGCCTGGCATGATAGGACCTGCAGAAACATGTGTTCCAGCTAATATAGCTCGGTTGGGTCATCACGATAGGCAAGCCCGACCACCACGTCAAGGTAGCAGCTTCGGTCGGGATTGTACACATGTGTAATGATATACTGTTGAAAATGAACTGATTTAATCGATAAAAGTGAAAGGTCATATTGATTGAATATTTTGTAAGCAAGAACAAATATTTCATATCCCAAATATATATATATATATATATATATATATATATATATATATATATTCGCAATCAATTAAGTCAGTTTGCTTTCATCTTCTGAAATTTCTCTGGTCAAGGATTCAAAGATTAGTTGCTTGAGCAAGTAAATAGCCGGCACAATCACAACGATCTTACGATCATTACAATAGTTCTTACTCAATGATAGTCAGTCAGTCAGATGCAACGTAGAACATAGTACGTAAGTACATTAGTTCATGTCGCCATACCACATCAGCACAGAGATATTGAATTGTCAATTCAAATCCAATAGTAGAAGAGGTAGTAAAGGTATTAGAAGTAATCCGAGAGGTTAGGATTAGAAGATATTATTCAAGAAGTATGATTCAGTGAGATAAGTTTAGAAAGTCAAAACTAGAGGGGTTGAAGAATCCAGAAGATTAGGGTTTGAAAGAACACAAAGAGTAAATGCACCGGCGCCATTGCGAACGATTTTGAGCCATGTCGTTCAAGGTCTCTAACCATCGATTATTATCATCTCGCGGACCCCAACCAGGAGGTAGTCAACAACTACCGACATGGCTAAGTCCACTAGTCAATGACTTCATGGATTTCAGTCACGTTTTGTTTTGGCCGCCCCTAACTTTCTTCCAACCTATTCCTACACTACAAAACAAAGCTCGACGAGGGAGTCGCTGGTTAGGCATACGCAACACGTGTCCCAACCACCTCAACTGATGAAGTTTCACCACTTCATCGATTGGTCTGCCATTCTTACCTAGCACCCGATTCCTAATAACAGCGTTGCTCACTCGGTTGTCCCACGATATACGAGCAATGCTTCGAAGACACCTATGATCGAAAACCAATAACCGACGAGTATCTTCTACTCTCATTGGCCATGTTTCACAGCCATAAAGTAAGACGGAGCGAACCACTGCGCAGTACACTCGTCCTTTAGTCAGCAAACGGATATCTCGCCTACGCCATATTGAATTCTTGTTGTATAACAATTACAAGTTATGTAATGAATGGAATTTGTGAACGCATCAAAAAAAATAGAGAAGCGATTAACATTAATTAATGCCAACGAATGACAGACAATAAATCATAACTAATAAAAGGTAAAGAAAAAGTCAAAGTAAAAAAAAACAAATATACCTTTCGATAGAAATTGCATTATAACTGTCAATCCCTGTTTACATATATCTAGAAAAAAAAAAGAAATTTTCAAAACGAAAAAGAATACATTTGAATAGAAATTTATAACTTTTTTTCACTTCTCTATATTAAAACAACAAAAATCTCAATCACTACTTGATTACTTTCGCCTGTTACCCCCAATGGAGCATAGGCCGCCAAGCAGTTTTATCCAATCAACTCTGTCGTGGGCTTCCCTTTCCAGTTCTTTTCAACTTTTGTTCATTCTTCTCATATCTTTCTCTATTTCTCGGCGTAATGTGTTCCTTGGCCTCCTTCTTTTCTTTTAAATTTGAGGGTTCAAGTGAGGGCTTGTCTTGTGACGCAGTTAGGTGCTTTTCGTAGTGTGTGTCCTATCCACTTCCATCGCTTCTTCCTGATTTCCTCCTCCACTGGAATCTGGTTTGTTTTCTCCCACAGTACGTTTTTGCTGATCATGTCTGACTAACGAATCCGAAGTATTTTGCGTAGACAACTGTTAGTGAATAATACTTGTATCTTTTGGATGATGGCTTTGGTAGTTCTCCAAGTTTCCGGCTCCATACAGTAGAACTGTTTCGACATTTGTATTGAAAATCCTGTATTTGGTGTTGATTGATAGTTGTTTTGAGTTCTAGATGTTCTTCAATTGTAGGAATGCAGCCCTTGCTTTGACAATTCTCACATCTGCATCGGATCCACCTTGATTGTTGATGATACTCTTAGATATGTAAATGTGTTAACGTCCTCCAAGGCATCTCCATCAAAAGTGATTTGGTTGGCGCTTGTAGTGTTATATCGCGGAATCTTGCTTTTCCTTTTATGTATGTTGAGACCTGTTGCTACACTAGTCGTATTCTCCTGCATTTGTTGTTACGTGTGCGATAGAAGAGCCAGATCATCTGCATAGTCCAAATCGTCCAGCCGCATCTTGGCTATCCAGTGGATACTGTGCTTTCCTCCAGATGTTGATGTCTTCATAATCCAGTCCATCACCAGCAGAAAATGATGCAATATTGTGAGTTATTAGAAATTCGACAAACGAACAACTATTGAATGCCAGCTCAATTGGTCAGAAAAAAGTTAAACACACGCTGCAAGAATTGACGACTCTGAGTTTGGTCCTTCATGGTTGACATTGTGAATGTGGACTGCTAATAAGTCTCATACTAAGACAGTAATTTATAGCTTCCTTGTTTGTAATGGCTGTTTGTGATACTAATAATCATATGTTCACAAGTGACAGATTTTGAGAGATAATTCCTAGTGTCTTGGTGAGGAGCTGTGACTAGTTAAGTTCCACCATGTTGAACAAGAGGCAGTTATTATCCACTTTGAACATTATTGTAAACTGAATAAGTTTGATTATTTCATGCAATTTTTCCTATTTATAAACTTGAATAAAGAAAGAACAAATATCGTAGCAGAATAACATGAATTCATTTACTTCGTTGATTCTCGTCTTTTGATTGGATACTAGATTGGTAATAGCCCTAAGGCCTCGGTGTTTGTTCATTGGTCATTGGTAAAATAAGTCACCTGACCTAAAGCCTAGAGCTAACTAGTCACTCATTGAGCTAATAACGACTCGACTATATTGGCCTCAATGTGATACAATCACATGTTTTTTGAAGAGGTAACAGTATTAAACAGTAAAATAGTAGTTTGTGTAACTAAAATTACTATGAAACAAGTCAGAAAAACTACCCATTGAGTTCCTAAATGTCAGGAGTACTTAAACAATAAAGCCGATAAAAAATCATTAAAATGAAACAACTATACATACTTTATATAGGAAATATCAAGACTAATCTGAGTTATAATATACGAAGATCGATTAATATTAAGATCATATTCTGGAAGAATTTAAAAAAATTTCATTTAGAAAAATTACTGTTTTATTAATTTAATATTGTTACTTCTCTTCAAGAAAAAAAACATATAATTGGAATGTATTGGGGCTAACATAGTCGAGCCGTTATTAGGGAAATATTAGTATTGTCTAGCTGAATAAGTGATTAGTAAGCTCTAGAATGTAGGTCAGGTGACCTCTTTTAACAATGACCAAATAAGGAGATCTTGGAGCTACTCTCAATCCAGTATCCAATTAAAAGGCGAGACTGACAAGTAAAAAAGATCACTATTTGTTACGCCTGCACATAAACACCTCAACTTGATATACTTGAACTATTACGAGTTTACCTTAGTCGTAAACGAGAACGAGGATCGAGGATCCGGCGACACAACATGCTACTCTAATCCGAGTGTCCTAACCCCCTATTGAATGAAAGAAGAAGACTTGATATGAAGTAGAACGTGTATTCTACGATCATCCAGAACAGTACGAGGTCCGAATCCAGAAGAGAATCAGGATCCCGGACTAGGGATCCGGGATCGAGCCCTGTTCCTGGTCGTGGTCATAAAACGTTACAAATAATGCGTATTTATACATTTTGGTCGAATAGGAAACAGCATCGAAGTCTGTGACATTGATAGTCAGGACAACCATAAAATTGACCAGTAGGAATTAACCAATAGGAGTTGACCAATAATTCTCTTAGGATATTGGATGAATATCCTAACACTATTGTACAAATGCTTCTTTATATGAATGAACTTATACAATTATGTGATTAGTCAATTGCACACTAACATGAACAAAAACAAAGTGACTGGCCAGTATAATTAATTACTACTAACTTAAGAAACTTCAATCATACAGTTGTAATTTATGAGCCTAACGGAACAATAAAGGTCAGAAAATATAAGCATACAATAACTTAAAACTCTAATCATTATTATAGGGTAGAAAAATATGAAAAATAATTATCGATTAGATGGTTTAACAAGCTACAGATTCCTCAAAATTTGCCTCGTCATAACAACTACACAGTGTGACCAAAACACACATCATAACTGTTAAAATTAGTGATTTAGTGGGTGATACGTTAAATTTTAAACCTGTTTCTCTATGTACCCCACAATTTTCTGATCAACTGAGTAGTGTTAAACAAGTAGTTTAGCTCAAAACGTACATTCAACAAATCAACTACATTGACTACTTTGTTTAACGAACACCAGTGAAATTTAATGAAATAATACTCACCTGAGGTAGGATATTGTATTTGATCGTAGGAAAGAGTTAATTCTTTCAAATCTTTCAAATAGCACAATTGTTTAGGTAAACATGACAAAGGATTATTTTTTAAAAAAAGTTTAGTGATTTGATGTAGTTTTCCAAAATCTGATGGCAATTCAGTAAGACGATTGTCTGTAAAATATTTAGAAAATAAATTAAAGTAAACTTTTCTTGACAAAACAAGAATACATAAATGGAAAATATTTTCTAGTAAAACTAGTCTATAGTTAAACTGCGAAGCGGTTTATTACTCAACCAAAAAAGTGCGCAGTTGCAGAGTAATTTATGATAAACAGTAATATAATTTAGAGGAATAAACAACTTTATCATGATAAATCAACGAAAATCTGTTATAATCAGGAATTAAGAGCCTAGGTGCAATTATGAGTTTGATGGTTAGAACTCAGAGATGGAAGTGGAAGTTAGCGATAAGCATTAAAGTTAAGAGGGTTACGGTCTAATATAGGTAGTAAACGCTAGACAATACATTCTATCTTTCATTATGTCATGAATTTTGTGCACACTCTAATAGGCGTTAATCTAAAATCTGACTGGTTCCCTCAAGAGCATCGTTGAAATGCTGTTCAACCGATATTCAGTCAAGAAACAACCGGTACTAAAGAAAAATGGAAGACATCTGACTGAAGCCAACTGAAATATTGTTAAGTACAAGGAATATTGAATGAAATTTCGCACTTGCAAATACAACGTCAATATACTCTTCATAAATCTATGGTTCATCTTTAAGTATTGAACTCTTTGTTAAGCTAGTAGTGTATTGAACGAGAGCTATGAGCTACTTATAAGTAGTATATGACATGAATGTCAACGTAATGTCTGACACCAGAAGTTGGGGGAAGATCAAGAAAGGAAGAGTTAGAACACAATGGAATTTGTATGAAACGCATGAACAGTGAGTGACAATGGATTGATGTTTTGCAACAGGAACAGTCCAGTTCGATATGATGAACTGATATTTTGCAAATGAACGATTCACGATATGGTTTTCCGATTTTACTGAATAACTCTGTAATTTTCGTTAAATACAATCCGATTGCCCCACCTGTGTTATCGTTCACTACAGTAGAACACTACTTACCTAATCTGAAATATTTGCTTACAATTGAATTATTGAGTACAGAAGAACAAATAATAATAATGAAAATTATATTCATTATATAAGTTAAAGGTGACGGTGACTTTGCCGCTAAATGGGTAATGCGTTAGCTTTCGGAGCAAAGGATAATTGGTTTTGCATCTGCTTAAACAACAGTACAGAGACACAGTGGTGAGCCCGACGTCGAAATCGACACACAACAAATGACGAGACCGTCGTTCGTTCATGTCATGTCATTCCTCAATTCGCTCGCTTGATTCATTCGTCCATACGTCTTCACAGAAGATCAGCAAACTCTCACTACATAATTCGACGATTCCGATGACAAATCGAATATAACCAACCAGTTGGTAATTTCGAGGACAAATCGAACAGAACCACTAACTGGAAATCCCGACGCCATGCAGCGACAAAGCAGCTCTGGTACTTAATGCATTAGCTGAACGAATCAAGCATTATCTTATCGTCATTTTGATTATGTACCAACTCTTCGTAGTGCACTGACGAGCGAATGCACGGAAGAATGAACGAAGCAGCGAATAAAACGAATGAAGCGACGTGAATTGGAGTTTGCTCTTAGCCTACTCCAACGCGCTTCGCCTATTCATTCGCTTCCTTCGCATTGTTGGCTCATTAGCCTTCTCCAATTCACGTCGCTTTATTCGTTTTATTCGCTGCTTCGTTCATTCTTCCGAGCATTCACTCGCCAGTGCACTACAACAGTTACAAATAGGGTGGAACCATCGTTCACTGTTATCCATCATCTAAAATACATACAATTAACTTGTAGTTACAAAAAATATCAAGATATTCAATTAAAGAGTTCATATACCAACGGACATTGATTAAACGTAATCTTAAATAACAAAAACTGGAAAATATAAAACTCCATATATAAATAAGAATTGATATCATTTGGAAGATATGCATCCAAAACACCAGTAGAAAATAGTTTATCACAAAATAAATATCTTGAAAATTGTTACACTTAAACTTACCTTCAACGTTAAGAAATAGAAGTTGCGTAAGAGATGTTATAGTTGAAGGTAATTTTGATAATAGATTTTTTGAAACATTTAAAACCTAAACAATATATAATTTTAGGCTATTAATTTTACCGAAAAAAAATACAACCAAATTATTACCTGTAAACATTTTAATTCGCAAATATCATTAGGTAAATATTGAAATTCATTCGAACTTATATCAAGTAGGACAATATTTTGAAGATTTGTTAATTTACCACCGGAATCAAGTTTTTGTAAAGAATTTTGTTGAAAATATAGCTTTGTTTTTAATAGAACTTTAACAAGAGAAAAAGTTCCATCAGGAATCTAAATATTCAGTGTAATTGTATCAAATAAAAAGTTATATATATATATATATATATGTATTACCATTTTAAGTTCACATGATGACAAATCAAATATATCATCTGGACGTTCTCGAGCCTAAAATATATGCATAGTTAAGAGAATAGAATCAATAAACAGTTTCAAAATGAACAAAATATTTCATAAATATGATAAGATGCATTAAATAAATATAAACTCAAGAAACTGGCAGCTCAATTCATACATTTTTAAAGTAGAGTTTGTAAAATATCTTAAATGTATCCTAAGTGCACATAGCTGAACTAAAATTACGTTAACAAAAATAAAAACGACTTATTTTCAGTGATTGCACTTACAAGTAGTACAACACAAAAACTAAGTAAAATGGTAAAGAAATATAAGCGAGCATGGCCAGAAGTAACAACCAGTAACAACCTACTATGAGAGTGGACAAAACAGATTCTAGCTAAAGAAGAAATTAGGCAAAACTGTTGGAGGTGGACAGGACATACATTGTACACACTGCATCCCGTAGCAAGCCCTAGCTTAGAAACTTCAAGGCCAAAAGAAAAGAGGTAGACCAAGGAACACTCTGAGCGCCCTGACCACTGAGGAGTATAGAGAAACCGATTTCTTCAAAGTCTAAACATTGGAAGTTCTGAAAAAAGAAGCGAGTGAATTACTAATGAATTTTGTATTTTCAGCCGGGGCACGTAATCTCTACAATGTTTAGACAACGAAATAACAACTTATCACACAATGCAGACTAGAAACCAATAACTTTATGAACTGATGTCAAGAGATGAATTGGTTTTGCTTAACCGTTACACTTCTTTGAAACATAAAAATTTTGTGGTAAGATATAAGTAAAATGTTAGTAAAATTTATGAATGAAATTCGAATGAGAAAGAGAATTTTATTTTGTGTCTTGAATAAATAATAGGAAATTTGCTTGATTTTTCGGAAAATGATTGGAGCCAATATTTGTTTAAAAAAAGTGCATAAATTATAGATAAATCAAATGATTCTAATAACAATACATGAAACGCGATAGTCAGGTAAGAACATAGTATGGAATTTTGTGAATCGGTCACTGAGAGTTGTCTGCTTGCATAGTGCGTGCAAGTCCTCTACCTTGCGCTGGAACGCTGAAAAGTGTATATTAATTCTAATGATGATCTTTTAATTGATATAAAGAACTGTTGCTAGGTGTTGAGATTGAGGTGTTTAAATTTTAATAGCTGCATTGGCGAATGCAGTCGGACGTCAAAATGTTGAGTTTGTCAATGTATGGGATCCTTGAAAATTTCCTTTACCATTAGATATACTTTATTTTGAATATGAAGTTTTTTTGAGAATCCTGAAGGAAGTCAACTTACTTTCCGGTTAAAATTTAAGTAACATTCTTATAGAAACAAAACCTGTGAAGTTGATTTCCACAATCCGACTGGACAAGATGGTTATACTGAGACATAAGAAGGTGGCGTTTAAATAATGAAAAGTGGTGAATTTATAGTCAATTAGTTTATAATAAGGGCTAGATGTTTGTGAGATGCACTAAAAAATCCAAACCAGTCCAGAAAGGAAATTTTATATTTAAGGACAGAAAGAAGCGTCATGATCATTTTCGCATTGTTACTCAAGTTTTACAGAATAGCGCGAATCAATTTTCTAACAACCTGAGTTACGACAATCTAAATCATAAGGGTAAATATCCTTAACAGATCTACACTGACAGCTTGTTTGAATTCAGACCATAAATACCACTTTTGATCAAAGATTTCACAAAAAAAGCGTATTCGGTTTCAACCTACGAGGTACAATTTTCTCTCCAGCAATCGTCTGGACTCACTAGACTGCTTTTTAGAAAACATTAGTAGACACCATAACCGAAAAACCGGGGTGCTAAAGTATTCACTATTTTAAGCTCTGAGGTCTGACATAACAATAATAGAATATAAATAAATAAACGAAGAAAAAACTTGAAATAAAACCGGTAACATAATGTGTTAAATATCCTAACATATATAACGTGTGACGAAGAACAGGTCCATAGTATTTTTCAGTACATCAGGATTTTCAATACAAACGTCAAAACTGCAATAAACTTAGAAAAATACAAAAGCCATCATACAATATATACAGCTACTAATTAAAATACTCTGGATACATTGGCCAGACATCCTAAGCAACAACCCACTGTCGAAGAGAACAAACCAGATGAAGTTAGGAAAAACAGCCGGAGACGGATAGGGTATCGTTAGGCAAGCCACAACTTGGAATTCTTAGGCGGAAACGAAAGTAGGCAATCCAAAGAACAGATTAAGGAGAAGATTTGAGACAAATGAAAATAGTGAACAAAGCTTAAGGACAACGAGGAAGTAGAACAATGTTTCTCGGAGAATCCTGATCGGCGACCTTTGCTTCAAGAAGAGTAAAGGGCTTAAATAATTAAGTATCTGATCATGTCACGTTCATGAATAAGGAAGTCAACGACATTCAGAGTTGCTGGCTCACTTACTCATTTTACCACTGACTGAGCACAACCCGCCGACCTGTATTCTACAACCAACTTTTCCTATACCCTCCTTTCCGACACCACCTAATTGCAATTCTCGGCTAAGGGTATCCTTCGGTCTACCTCTTTTCCTTTAACCTTGAAGGTTCTAAGTTAGGGCTTACTTTGTGATGCAGTGTGTGGGGTGTGTGTCCTGTCCACCTCCAACAGTTTTCCCTAATTTCTTCCTTAGCTAGAATCTGTTGTAATGCCTCCACATATATTCCAGTTCGCTTACATCTAACTTGGTTAATCCTTTTCGATTAATTTGTTTAACCAAGCCATTTGTAGTGGCCGATTTTGATCACGTCGTGCTCACCATTTTGTTGTGTGGCTGTTTTACTGCGGGTTCTTAAGCTCGTTAATTAACTCGTTCAGACAATAGTTGCCAAATAACGTCTGACGGTTGATAAATCAGAAGTTGGACACAAAGTGATGAATACGTTTATTCGGGACACACCACAAAGCGAAGCGAGGAAGCAGTGAATAAAACGAATGAAGCGACGTGAACTGGAGAAGGCGTTTGAGCCAACTCCATGGGTTACAATGCGAACGAATGGGCGAAGCGAATTGGAGAAGGCTAAGAGCCAACTCTTTGGATTACAATGCGAGCGAATGGGCGAAAGAAGCGATGTGGAGAAGGCTAGTGAGCCGACTCAAAGAGATAGAACATGACTAAGAATATATAGACAAAAATAAGGCGGACATATGACAAGCGAAATATGCGTGCGCACACATGAATAAAAGCGACGAATAGTTGACAAGGTCAGATGACAAGTGGGACATGTCATGTGAGCTCACACAAACCAGACAATAATAAGAACGAATGGTACATATAAATTGTCGCTATACAAATGGCGTGGTTAAATAAATTAATCGAAAGAGATTAACCAAGTTAGATGTAAGCGAACTGGAATATATGTGGAGGCACTACACTGTTTTGTCCACTCTCACAGTAGGTTGTTGCTCATGGTATCTGGCCGATGGGTCCTCAGTATCTTGCGAACAAAACTGTTATTAGGCACTTGTGCTTTTTGGATAATGGCTTTTTTATTTCAACAATGGGCGATGCTTCCGTCCGTCACATGCTTCAGATAGAGAACAATTTAAATCTTATCAAACCAGACTTCAGGATTCTGGAAGATAAATGGTATGTTTGATTGTTGGTTGGGATGTCGAGGAGTGAGTAAATATAATCTGGCTGTTTATGCAATGAGACGAGTTGCACGTCATGCCATACGGTGATAATGTGTAAATGTGTCACCGAGAGCTTTCATCTAGTGTTTGTCTAGTAAAAATAACGAAGTCAAAATCAATGTCGAAGAATTATAGAACCTTTTTTATTAGAACTTACTGACTGTTTCAAAATATCAAGGTTCTTGATAAGCAATTCTTTCTTGACGCCCACCAACGTGTAACTTTGGCTGAAATTATTTCAGTTATAAATAAAACAATAGTTCTGGTGCATATTAATTGATAGGATCCCAAAATTTGACTCCGAGTGGAAAAATATTAAAATCTTTCCGAATTGAGCTCGTGACTGTTGGTAATAACCAACTGAGCCTTCTTGGTCACTTGTTCTAGAAATATAGAGGTAGAATGCTGAACATGTTGCAGACTCTACGGACAATGGAATAACAAGTCTAATAAATGTTTCACAACACAGTCCTAAAGAAAGTCGGCTTTGAGAGGAGGAATATGAAGCAGTTTAATATAGGTGGTTTACAGACAGGCGACAACCTCTAACCAATATCAAAACAGCTAAAGTACGCATTTATGTCTACATTAAACTTCCCATCATTTGAGGTGTGCCGGCTTAATGCGTGTTCTTACGTTTCGCGATGAGCTCGTTCAGACTACCTTATCCAATTGACGTCTGACGGTTAATAAATCAGAAGATGAATCCCAAGTAGCGTATACGTTTATTGAAGCACACCACAATTAATAACAGCAGACCACAGACAGACCGGACAGACAGACTAGCGAGCCAATATGCGAATGTGCGAATGAATTAATAAGATAAAAATGTTCGTATATATACAAAGGAAAATGTCTGAGTCATCGTGTTATTTAAGAGATTAATATTAAAGCGAATAGGATGCATATATGCGTAGGCGTTAAGCAATGCTCAGTCATACTAGCTCATACAAACCAGATAATAAAAAATACCAATTGTACATACAAGTTGTTGCTAAGCGAATGGCTTGGTTAAATAAATTAATCGAAAGGCTTAACCAAGTTAGATGTGAGAGAAGTGAAATATATGTGGAGGCACTACAATAGCCCCCTTCCAGCAAACAAGGTTACGAAAATGTCTTTGTTTGCGAGAAAAAAAAATCAAAATTGTCGGAAAACATCAAAAGTTTCGGAAGTTAAAGTTACTCTATTCGCATACGTTCGTGAGGTCGCAAAGGAATAGAAGATTAAACAAAAGTATAGCAATGTTTTTAGGTTACATCTCCATTTCGAAATACACAATGTATCGAAGGCAATAATGGATATATTAGAATTTTCGACGTATAGATGCGAAGCAAAAAAAAATGTGTTCGAAATGGTAAGAAGAATTATCAGTTCAAAAATGTAGCTATATATCTTTGCGGCCACCTGACTCTTCGTCCATATCTGGTCGTTGGTGGGCTTCCTTCTGTTTTCTGTGTTGCCGCTTCAGAGGGTTTAAGCTCGCATTTCGTCGATTCAATGGCTTTCGATGGGTTTGCGTTTATTGGCTGTTCTTCGCCTTCAATGAAAGCTGGTTTGACTCTGTCGATGCTAACTACATCCGTTTTTCCAGCTTTATCTACGGTGATAGTTTTATCGTTTCTGTCGATAACTTTAAAAGGACCATCGTAGGTTGGTTGTAAGGGACGTCGCACAAAATCTCTCCTGATAAATACATAGGAGGTATCGCTTAGTTGCTTCGGAATATATACTCGATGTTGATTCTCCTGCGGAAGCGTTATTCTTAGATCGCTCATGTGTTCTTTTAGACGACGTACGTAGTTAGTTATATCAGTTGGAACAATCTTACCTGAGATGAACAACTCTCCTGGTAGACGTAGGGTAGTTCCGTAAACTAACTCTGCAGGGCAACATCCTATGTCTCTTTTAACCGTCGATCTTAAACTCAACATGACTAATGGAAGCTTGTTGGCCCAGTCATTGTTGTTAATAACAGCTGTAAGAGATGCTTTTAGTTGTCGATGTAATCTCTCTACCATACCATTTGCCATCGGGTGGTAGGAGGTTGTGCGTATACGTTTAATGCCGAGGAGCTCTGTGAGTTGTTGAAAGAGGCGACTTTCAAATTGGGCTCCTCTATCGGTTGTGATATGAGCAGGGACTCCATAATATGAGATCCAATGTTCGACTAAGGTTTTAGCTATGGTCTCTGCTGAAATATCTTTTATGGGCACCGCTACAGGCCATCGCGTGAATCTGTCTATGCAGGTAAAAATATAACTGAAGCCATTCGAAATTGGCAGTGGTCCCACAATATCGATATGTATGTGCTCGAATCGGCTATCTGGGTGACGGAATGGACCTACTGCGGAACTTGTGTGACGATGAACTTTAACTTTCTGGCATTTAATACATGCCTGTGTCCAGTTGCGAACATCTCGGTTCATATTTGGCCATACGAAACGGTCGCTAATCAGACTGATCGTTGCCTTAATTCCAGGATGTGATATATCATGCATAGTTTCGAAAACTTTTCGTCTAAATGGCTTCGGAATAAACGGTCGTGGTCTGCCTGTAGAAATATCACAGATTATGTTCACTTTGCCGAACGGAGTTTCTCGGAATATTAAAGAAGTTGTATTGGATGATCTTAGTCTATTTAGCTCTACGTCCATATTTTGCAACGCCGCTAGTTTATGATAATCAATGTCGGTTTGGATGAGAGCGTTAATCATCGTTCTTGATAATGCATCTGCTACTTCGTTAGCATGGCCTTTAATATATTGTATGTCAGAAGTAAATTGGGAAATAAACTCCAATTGTCGAATTTCCCTCGGCGAATAATTGTCGTGCTTGGCATTTAACGCTTTCGTGAGGGGTTTACGATCTGTGTACACTGTAAAAATGGTACCCTCAAGCATATGTCGAAAGTGCTTTATTGTCAGATAAATTGCAAGCAGTTCTCTTCCGAACGTGCTGTATCTCGTTTGCGTGGGACTTAATCTTTTAGAAAAGAATGAAATCGGTTCCCATGTGTCGTTTACGAACTGCTGCAACACGGCTCCAACAGCGATGTTCGACGCGTCAGTCATGACGGCCAATGGAGCTTCGTTTTTTCGTCGTACCAATATTGTCTTTTCATTTAACACGCGTTTAGCGTTCTCGAATGCTTCTATGGCGTCGGGTGACAAGTGAAATGTTCGGGCACGTCCACGCAGAGCGTCTGTTAACGGTTGCAATATTGCCGCGCAGTTCGGAATGAATCGTCTATAGTAGTTAATTAGTCCGAGAAATCGTCGTAATTTCTTCTTTGTTTCGGGCAACGGATAGTCACGAATAGCTGCAACTTCTGATGGGACTGGTGTGATACCTTGAGAATTTATTATGTGTCCTAGAAATTGCAGTGATTTCTTACCAAATTCACATTTCTTAACGTTGATGGCAATACCGTGTTCTTGAAGTTTATTGAACAACTGTCTTAGTTGTTGTAGATGTTGTTCCGGTGTAGCACTAGCTACAAGTATATCGTCGATGTACACATATACGCCTGACAAACCTCTAACAACCTGGTCGATGAATCTCTGGAAGGTTTGTGCGGCATTAGTTAATCCGAACGGCATTCGCAAAAATTCGAATAATCCGAATGGAGTGATTACAGCCGTTTTCGGTATATCCTCATGCGCCACGGGAATATGGTAATAAGCCCTAACGAGGTCAATTTTCGAAAAGATAGTGGCGCCTTCCATATTGTTAGTCATGTCGTGGATATGTGGCACTGGATATCTATCTGCCACAGTTTGTTTATTGAGTGCTCGGTAATCTCCACATGGTCTGTACTCTCCGTTCTTTTTTAGTACCATGTGTAACGGAGATGCCCATGGGCTACTAGATGGCCGTATTATGCCAAGTTTCATCATTTTGTCAAATTCTTGTTTCGCAACGTTTAACCTTTTCGGATCCAGGCGTCGTGGTCTCGCGTTACAAGGTGCACCTTTAGTTGCAATATAATGTTGCACCGTATGTTTGAGATCGGTATTATCGTAAGACACTTTTGTCAGGTCGGCGTATTCGTTTAGTAGCGATTTATATGGGTCGTTTTTGTCTCCTGACACTACTAAATTCATAGATTCATGATCAGTGATTATTCCTCTTATCACCAATGAACGGTCTCTGCTCAAAATCTGGTTTCGTCGCGAATCTACTAATAAGTCGAAATTCTTCAGGAAATCAATACCGATTATAGGTACGGATACGTCTGCTATCACAAATTCCCATCGAAGTGAAATGTTTCGACCGAAATCTAAAGTTATTTTTCGCTTTCCGTATGTTTTTATGTCGGATTTGTTTGCTGCTTTCAAAGTAAGTGCCATATTGACATTTCGTCGTTCATTACTAACGGGCGGCACAACACTTATTTCTGCTCCTGTGTCGACTAAGAATTGAGCACCAGTTGTCTTGTCCTGGACGTAAAATAGACGACTGTTTTTAGGAGCTACGTCAGTTGTTGCAGCGGTTACCGACGATCGACGGGATCGTTTCCCTATTGTATTAGCTTTAAATGTGCATGGCAGTCTACATTTCCGAGCTCTTCTGCCGTACGTTTGGTGATACCAACATATCGTGGGAGTAGATCGTTCCCTAGAGCGTGATCGGTTTTTGTCACTCGAAATAATTCGTGACCATCTTTGTGGTCTGTCGTTTCGCGTCAGGTTCGTCAGCTTTTGGCGTAAAATACGAATCATTTTTTTTAACTCTTCGATTTCACCATTTATTGGTGTGTGGTGTACCTGTGGATTCGGTGTTTCCGTTCTTTCGTAAATTCTGTCGGCAACACTAAATGGAGGAATAGCAATATTAAGGGACCTCACGGACGCCACTTGTGGCAGACTTGTTTCGTTAACCGAAGACATGTTAATGTACAATTTATAGTACGCGAATAAATTAAAAAAAATAATGGGATGATATTAGATGGACGATAATAATGTTAACAACAATTAATAAAAGGTTATAACATGGAACAGACTTACTGAAGTGCAGCAGTAAAACAGTTTTATGTATAATGACGTAATTCGTAATTGTTAATAATGTCAAAATATGTCAAATAATGTTTATGAAATAATTGTCATGCAATAACGATATGATAATGATAATAATCCCAAATGTTAATTTAATCCACAATAGTAATTCGTATCGAAATAGTTATTGTCAGTGATATTGCGGACGCGTTCGATTTGTGGTCGTAGTTTTTGGTCTGTCGTCGATATCAGCAAATTACTCCTGGGAGCGTCGATTTTTTTTGTCAGTATCCAGAAATATCCTGAGAACGTCGGGATTACCAGTTAGTGATTCTGTTCGATTTGTCCTCGAAATTACCAACTGGTTGGTTATATTCGATTTGTCATCGGAATCGTCGAATTATTACTGGAAACGTTGGGCTTACCAGATGAGGTGTGCCGGCTTAATGCGTGTTCTTACGTTTCGCGATGAGCTCGTTCAGACTACCTTATCCAATTGACGTCTGACGGTTAATAAATCAGAAGATGAATTCCAAGTAGCGTATACGTTTATTGAAGCACACCACAATTAATAACAGCAGACCACAGACAGACCGGGCAGACAGACTAGCGAGCGAATATGCGAATGTGCGAATGAATTAATAAGATAAAAAATGTTCGTATATATACAAAGGAAAATGTCTGAGTCATCGTGGTATTGAAGAGATTAATATTAAAGCGAATAGGATGCATATATGCGTAGGCGTTAAGCAATGCTCAGTCATACTAGCTCATACAAACCAGATAATAAAAAATACCAATGGTACATACAAGTTGTTGCAATACAAATGGCTTGGTTAAATAAATTAATCGAAAGGGCTTAACCAAGTTAGATGTGAGAGAAGTGAAATATATGTGGAGGCACTACAATAGCCCCCTTCCAGCAAACAAGGTTACGAAAATGTCTTTGTTTGCGAGAAAAAAAAAATCAAAATTGTCGGAAAACATCAAAAGTTTCGGAAGTTAAAGTTACTCTATTCGCATACGTTCGTGAGGTCGCAAAGGAATAGAAGATCAAACAAAAGTATAGCAATGTTTTTAGGTTACATCTCAATTTCGAAATACACTAAATGTATCGAAGGCAATAATAGCTAAATTAAAATTTTCGACGTACAGATGCGAAGCAAAAAAAAATGTGTTCGAAATGGTGAGAAGAATTATCAGTTCAAAATTGTAGCTATATATCTTTGCGGCCACCTGACTCTTCGTCCATATCTGGTCGTTGGTGGGCTTCCTTCTGTTTTCTGTGTTGCCGCTTCAGAGGGTTTAAGCTCGCATTTCGTCGATTCAATGGCTTTCGATGGGTTTGCGTTTATTGGCTGTTCTTCGCCTTCAATGAAAGCTGGTTTGACTCTGTCGATGCTAACTACATCCGTTTTTCCAGCTTTATCTACGGTGATAGTTTTATCGTTTCTGTCGATAACTTTGAAAGGACCATCGTAGGTTGGTTGTAAGGGACGTCGCACAAAATCTCTCCTGATAAATACATAGGAGGTATCGCTTAGTTGCTTCGGAATATATACTCGATGTTGATTCTCCTGCGGAAGCGTTATTCTTAGATCGCTCATGTGGTCTTTTAGACGACGTACGTAGTTAGTTATATCAGTTGGAACAATCTTACCTGAGATGAACAACTCTCCTGGTAGACGTAGGGTAGTTCCGTAAACTAACTCTGCAGGGCAACATCCTATGTCTCTTTTAACCGTCGATCTTAAACTCAACATGACTAATGGAAGCTTGTTGGCCCAGTCATTGTTGTTAATAACAGCTGTAAGAGATGCTTTTAGTTGTCGATGTAATCTCTCTACCATACCATTTGCCATCGGGTGGTAGGAGGTTGTGCGTATACGTTTAATGCCGAGGAGCTCTGTGAGTTGTTGAAAGAGGCGACTTTCAAATTGGGCTCCTCTATCGGTTGTGATATGAGCAGGGACTCCATAATATGAGATCCAATGTTCGACTAAGGTTTTAGCTATTGTCTCTGCTGAAATATCTTTTATGGGCACCGCTACAGGCCATCGCGTGAATCTGTCTATGCAGGTAAAAATATAACTGAAGCCATTCGAAATTGGCAGTGGTCCCACAATATCGATATGTATGTGCTCGAATCGGCTGTCTGGGTGACGGAATGGACCTACTGCGGAACTTGTGTGACGATGAACTTTAACTTTCTGGCATTTAATACATGCCTGTGTCCAGTTGCGAACATCTCGGTTCATATTTGGCCATACGAAACGGTCGCTGATCAGACTGATCGTTGCCTTAATTCCAGGATGTGATATATTATGCATAGTTTCGAAAACTTTTCGTCTAAACGGCTTCGGAATAAACGGTCGTGGTCTGCCTGTAGAAATATCACAGATTATGTTCACTTTGCCGAACGGAGTTTCTCGGAATACTAAAGAAGTTGTATTGGATGATCTTAGTCTATTTAGCTCTACGTCCATATTTTGCAACGCTGCTAGTTTATGATAATCAATGTCGGTTTGGATGAGAGCGTTAATCATCGTTCTTGATAATGCATCTGCTACTTCGTTAGCATGGCCTTTAATATATTGTATGTCAGAAGTAAATTGGGAAATAAACTCCAATTGTCGAATTTCCCTCGGCGAATAGTTGTCGTGCTTGGCGTTTAATGCTTTCGTGAGGGGTTTATGATCTGTGTACACTGTGAAAATGGTACCCTCAAGCATATGTCGAAAGTGCTTTATTGTCAAATAAATTGCAAGCAGTTCTCTTCCGAACGTGCTGTATCTCGTTTGCGTGGGACTTAATCTTTTAGAAAAGAATGAAATCGGTTCCCATGTGTCGTTTACGAACTGCTGTAACACGGCTCCAACAGCGATGTTCGACGCGTCAGTCATGACGGCTAATGGAGCTTCGTTTTTTCGTCGTACCAATATTGTCTTTTCATTTAGCACGCGTTTAGCGTTCTCGAATGCCTCTATGGCGTCGGTGACAAGTGAAATGTTCGGGCACGTCCACGCAAAGCGTCTGTTAACGGTTGCAATATTGCCGCGCAGTTCGGAATGAATCGTCTATAGTAGTTAATTAGTCCGAGAAATCGTCGTAATTTCTTCTTTGTTTCGGGCAACGGATAGTCACGAATAGCTGCAACTTCTGATGGGACTGGTGTGATACCTTGAGAATTTATTATGTGTCCTAGAAATTGCAGTGATTTCTTACCAAATTCACATTTCTTAACGTTGATGGCAATACCGTGTTCTTGAAGTTTATTGAACAACTGTCTTAGTTGTTGTAGATGTTGTTCCGGTGTAGCACTAGCTACAAGTATATCGTCGATGTATACATATACGCCTGACAAACCTCTAACAACCTGATCGATGAATCTCTGGAAGGTTTGAGCGGCATTAGTTAAACCGAATGGCATTCGCAAAAATTCGAATATATTACAAATAGTCGACAACCGTGCTTCGTAAGATCAACGAGCAAAAAACTGGACGTAACAAAAGTTCTTCTAATTTAATTTCGTCATAAACTGGATTCCTTTGGTCGTTTGACTCCAGAGGTTCTTCAATTCAAATTTTGGTCGTTGGAAACTTTTGGAAATTTGGGTCCAAAAGTTCTTCTAACTTTTAATTTGGTCGTTGGATACTTTGGACAATTCAATTTTGGTTCTTTGGTTATATTTTGGATACTTTTGGACATTTTGCTATTATTGGCGAATACGTTTGGAATAATTTCATATTTGCTTGGTAATCGATTTCTAACAAAATCATCCAATGGAAACTAGAAGCAAAAGGCTGAAGGAGCAGGACGAAATTGATGGTAAATTTTCTAAAGCTGTTTGTGGTATGTCTGATGTTAATAATGATAAACGTGATGATATTAGTGTTAATAGTAAGTCTTCATCTCAGTTTAGTACTTCTAGATTTAAGTTAGATAAGGCATTAATTAAGAAGAAGAATTTGGAAAAGAGACTTGAGTTAGAAAAGCAGCTTAAAATGTTAGAGCTTCAAGAGGAAGTTGATATGGCTGAATTAGAATGTAAGCTCATAGAAAACGATAACCAACTGTCAGTAGACAAAGCTGAGATAAATTCTAAGGTCGAAAGGTATTTGGATTGTGATATTGAGCGTAATAAGGTAATTAACGCCTCAAAATGCGGTTGTATTGATGAATTAAAGGACACGTTACGTGCTACGGTTAATAATACAGTTTTGCCTAAAATCGATATGATGTTTTTTGACGGACAACCTAGCCAGTACCACCGTTTTATTAGTCAGTTTACAATCATTATAGAGAGTAAACTGTCTGACAAGGGCCAGTTGTTGTCATATTTGTCATACTGAGAAGACTGAGGCAGGCTCAATAGATTGTATTTGGCAAATTTACACTCTTAGTCAATTAAAAACGATAACATTACATTGAATACTCCATTTGCACACCATCTTTGAGTCCTGACTTCCAACGCTCCAGCCTTCCTCCATTCCTGCTGTTGCTTCCTTTACTTCCTGTCGGTGCCCTAAATCTTTCTTGCTTTTGCTCTATTTGCTTTCCGTTTTCCTCTTCTGACCGTAAGACCTCTTCTTTCACGTCCATTCTTATACTACTTATATCGTTCGTATAAGTAGCACACACCACACTCGTCCCCCCTTTAACAAGTCGCTCTCTCAGCCTTTCTGATCTCCGTACAGCCGTCTTCTTTATCAGTGTTTGTGGCTCACCCTCTTGGCGCACTTGGAACCACCTTTGGAGTTCACTGGCATTCACGCGTTTCTGTTTGTTTCCTTTCTGGATTGTATACACTGCGCCGCGCCTCTCGGTTACTACGTACGGTCCCTCCCACTTCGGGATCAGCTTACCTGACCCTGGCCCTCTTAGTAGAGTCCCCAGCACCACCGCCTTCGCCTTCCGTTCCTTGACTCCGACCAGCTCCGCCACAGCCTCGAACTCCTTCAAGAAGCTCCTCACATCTCCGTCTTCAAACTCCCGAGGCCATGGTATCTTCATCCTGTGTGGAGGCAGCGACACCAATTGAGAAGACTGAGGCAGGCTCAATAGATTGTATTTGGCAAATTTACACTCTTAGTCAATTAAAAACGATAACATTACATTGAATACTCCATTTGCACACCATCTTTGAGTCCTGACTTCCAACGCTCCAGCCTTCCTCCATTCCTGCTGTTGCTTCCTTTACTTCCTGTCGGTGCCCTAAATCTTTCTTGCTTTTGCTCTATTTGCTTTCCGTTTTCCTCTTCTGACCGTAAGACCTCTTCTTTCACGTCCATTCTTATACTACTTATATCGTTCGTATAAGTAGCACACACCACAATACTATTGTAAAGGAAAAGCAAAAAATGCGATTGAAGGCTGTATTATTATGGATCCACAAGCAGGATATAAGAGAGCTAAGGCCATTTTAAAACAGCTCTTTGGACAGTCGCATGTAATAGCCCGAGAAACCTTAGAGGATTTATTTAGAACTGGGAATGTAGATTTTAATGATTCTGAATTATTGACGAACTTGGCTATTAAAATGCAGAATGCTGCTTTAACTTTAGAACAGCTAAATTACACAACGGAACTTAATTCCATGGTTACTTTAGAACGAATAGTCAGGCTCTTACCTCGTCGAATGCAAGCCCAGTGGGCAGAGCTAGTAATCAAGTGGGACGAAGAGGAGAGAGAGCCTAATTTTAACGAATTGACGGAATTTATTATGTCTCATGCTAAGATAGCTACTAGTAGGTTTGGAAGATTAGCTTATCGGGCTAAAACAGAACATAATACGGAAGCTACTAGTGGTCTGCGTGTGGGACATGAGGATTTTTCGTTTCTACCTAAAGCACGCTCAGAAGATAAGAGAGTTGTCAATTATATCACGAAAGCATACGCTGATGAAGGACGAGTATGTGACCGTAACGATGTAAAACCTCTTGATGCGTGTCCTAGCAAGAAGCCGGTTGGTGTAACAGATAAGATGGCTTTTCTAAGTATGGAAAAGAAAGAAAAGGGTGAAAAGTGTAGGCATCAAGATGGATCCGAAGTGTGTGATGGTAAAAGCCTTTTAACTGCTCGAACATCAAGGAACGGTTATTTGGATTTGAGTAAACAGAGGTTAGTGAATAAGAACAAAGACGAAACAGATTTGACTGTATGGAATAAAGCTTATGTTCGGAACCTTTCACGTAACGTAAATTATTTAACAGGACCTAGAGTTGATCCTAGGACAACAAGTGTATATAGTGACACAGCACTTCATGTTGCTGAGCAATCAGGATGTCTGCAGGCTACTATATCTAGTTCTATGGAGCATCATGATATTGAAGCGGAAGATAATAGCTGCTTAGCGCGTCCTGCTGATGTTTGTTTACGGTCAACGGATGGACGGTCGTATACTAGTCGAAGTAGTCATATCGACATTGATAGTGTGAGTGAAAGTGGTAGCGTAGCTTTGAAGCCTGCATGCCAACTATCTCGCAACTCGTCATTAACTGTGAATAGTCGGAACATCATTGTCGACAACAATAATGTCAAGGTGGAGGTGAAACCCCATGTATCTATTAATAGTGTAATTGATGTGAATAATAAACGAGATGGTAACGATAGTGGAATCATTATAGGTAGTGCTGTTTCGTCGGTTGACGCTGCTAATGTAGCTTCTTTGAGTACTTCGAATCAAGACGAAATTGGATGTTTGAGAGTGGAGAACGTAGGCGTCGGTGGCAATAGCTTTAGCTATAGTGATGGCAGTACTGAGAATGCTAACATTCGGTACCCTAGGTGCAATGAGGAGTCATCTAGGTTTAATGGACATGCTGTTATTTTGAATATGCAGCATGAGGAATCAAGCATGGAATTGTCCACCTGTCGCACTTCACCATCATTGACTCGTACTACAGGTATCGGGATGAGCACTACCAACAGTGATAAGATAGAAGAGGTTAAGAGCATTCCTGGTAATGAAAGTATTGTTGATCGAGTAAAGTTGGATACTGTGTATGAGTCGACTGGTTATCATGAGAAGTGTATTGCTACTTGTACAGATGCGACTACCAATGATAATAGCATTGGTAGTACGGCGGGTAATAGTGATCTATGGAAGTTAAAGGACGCTCATCGTCGTCGAAATGATCGTACGTTACGCTTGCATACTGCCACCCAAGCTAAGAAGCATAAGAAACAACATGATGCTACTAATATTAAGAAGTGTAAACTTCGTTCTCTTTCGGATGCTATGACTAGCAATAGAAGTAGTAGTCATCAGAACCTTAGTATTGACAGTGATAATAAGGAGATAGAAAGTGTCAGCAGTCCACTTATAGTGACTAGTTTATCAACTTCATCGAATGAGCCTCCTAGTGTTTCGACGCCATCGGACCTCGTCACGAATGTTAAGTTGATTGAAGATGCACAAGGTTGTGCAACTGTAACTGTTCCTATTCCGGTTGACTGTCAGTCGAGTGATGATGAGAAGAAAGTGTTTGATGGTAACAGCCAGTCTACAGTGTTGTGTGATGACGATGCTATTGATGAGCATATGTCTTGTGTCTCTGAAACGGATGCTAATGCTGACCGAATCGACGCGACTTGTCTGACAGAACGGAATCATGATGACGTTGATAATAATCTGGATGTCACTGATGTGACAACTGAGTTACCGACGATGACGAATACTGACCAAACCTCCTTTGTATCAGGAGATGGAAAGATAAATATTGATCCCACGTCATGCTACTTAAAGTCTTCTGGAGACGATGAAATGTCAAGATTGGACATCCCACCCTTGCATATTATCTACGGGTCAAGAATTTCTGTTGATAAGTTAGCATCACGGACTTCATTGTATCTGCTGATCGGAGCAAGTGGTGGTGGATTGGCGACTCGTCCCCATGATAGAGAATGTAGTCTTTGGATAGGATATGACCAGTTTTACGACGTGTTGTACATGTTCGTGTGGGTTAATTGGATAAGGTTTATACTACCGTTAGGTCATGCTACGATAGATAGGGGGATCAAGGGCCTGATGGGAATGTACAGGTTCATAGTTTGATAGGTCATATCCATGTTGGAGGGCGGGTAGGCGTACTGCTGTAAGTCCTACTCGTTCTTCCGGTGTGGATTAGGGGATGAGAGTGAACCGTAAATTGAAGTGTTAGAAAGGGCTTGTTTTGCTTAGAGGGATATTGTGGGCCGGTGTAGAATTTATATTGAATGTTTGTTGTTGATTGCTTGTGATGCACATACTTGGATTGTTGTTATATATTTTTGTCGGTGAAAAGAACCAAGGTTCTTTTGGTCGGGAGTGTTACGGGAGAAACGAAGACATTTTGCTGATCAAAACCTTCATGTATAAATATCATTAATTTCACTGTTTTGGGGTACATTTGTTTTACTTAACTTGTGAACTTGTTTGAATTATTATTTGCGGACATTTTGGACTCCCGTTTCTCTTTGTTGTTCGTTTGCAGTTTTTTGCTCCAAGAGCTAATAAATTAGAAGAACGACATTGGTCGTCTATTTGTAATAAAGTAATTTGGTCGAATTTGTGATTTGGAATAAACTTTGGTATCTACTTTGAAGTTTCGTTCTTGGTTTAGAAATTTGGGACCGTGAATTACAAATAGTCGACAACCGTGCTTCGTAAGATCAACGAGCAAAAAACTGGACGTAACACATACTGATCCCAATTTCCGTGACTTCTCTAGGCATAAAAATGAGATAGATAAGATGCCAACTAAATGAGCTGAAAGGTTAGGTCCCAGTTGGTGGCGTGGCCGTGAGGTGTTGATTAGTTCCACCCTAGTGTGAGACAACTGTTTAGTTCCTTTTTGGCTTTCTGTGAGTGATTGTACCACAAAACCTTCAGGACCTGTCCTGACGATACTCGACATATAATATACTGTTTTGCACCTAGGAGTTCAACTTTTATTAAAAGTAGTTTATCTCTTGAGCTCGGGCACGATCTATGTTCGTTCTCAGAGGGAGCGTCTGTTGTTGTAAACTTGGCCACCACGGGTTTGTATGTATTTAAGCTTGTTAAGCCCTTGAATGAAGGCTCTGAACACCAACCATGCGGAAGCATATACATGAACCTCATCACTTCTAAGAGAATAAGTGGAATCAACTAAAACATTAAAACGCTCAGAATGATAGCGCACTCCATGAGAAACTTAAATTCAATTCATTTTTTAGAAAGAATCATTTGAATGAAACAATTAACAAAGGAGAACAGATAGAATGCTAAATAGACAAACTTAATTTTTTAATGTCATTATCTGTCCTAGTTTGCATAATTGAATACGTGAAAGTCTGTCATTGAAAATTAGGCGAAAATTCCAAAGATTGTGCATAGCTTAAGATTGTTTGAACATCAGAATCTGACTTCAAATATCAGGAAAAAACGATTGTCATAAGTGGGTTTTTTGAATGTTTTTCTCTGGTTTAATAATACAGCGGTAATGGGTGATACGATATGAATGACTGAGTTTATACTACCACTTGGCTGAGCACCCAAAAGTGGAGACTTGAACAAAATTCCAAATACTCAGATACTACTGCTTCCTCAAGGACAGTGGTTTGTGTTTGTGCGCGTTTAGAAAAATGGCAGCAACATAAAGAGAACGTTGCGCGCAAGAAGTGTTTTTGGTAGAGTTAAACAAAACGAGTACAATAATGTTTATTTTTCACAAATCGTATTTTCTTCGTAGAGGCGTTCCACTACAGCAGCCCCCGCCTAGAAAGGGTTCACACTTTTGATACATAGACGCTGCGTTCGGGGGGGGGGCTGGTCGGCCAACATTTGATTGTAGTGCAGAAGGGTTGACGAACAGGAAGCGACCAATGAGGCTCGTGTTGTCACCGATAATCTTCTGCGTTGAACTGTAACAGTAGTAACGTGCCAGGTTTGTTGCTCGAGTTGACGTGCCATGTTTTTCTTTGGGATTGGCATGCCACACCAGCGTGGCTCGTATCCAGAGTCTGAAGATTGCGTTCGTAGGGGGACGGACTAGATGAAGCTACAGACGTAGGACGGAACCAGATTGGGCGATGGAGCCAGAAACGATGGTAACGGCCAGTGCGAAACCATTCGTATACCAGATATATTCGTAACCCGAACATCGACTGAGTGCATTGACAAGAGCGTGGGTGATCAGGCCAGCTTTCGCCAAGGTTGACTGACGGTACCAACAGGGCAATGGTTGGAGGCGTAGTCTCATGATAAAAAAATAAGGGAAAAGGGGAGAGGTGTAGCATACATGTAGTATGAGGAGTATCCTATCGCGTATTCGTTGTTGATTGGGATATTGGTCGCGAAAGCATATAGGTAGGTGTGCGCGGCGACTGGAACGTGCGTACCTAGTGAGCCTACAATCTCATCCGAAGTCAAGGTCGGCGTGGTCTGGACGTGAACCGGGGTCTCACCCGTATATAGGGCAGATGACGCACGCTGTTGACTGGGACGTGAGAAGGAGGTATCTGATGCATCCAGCGTGGGATCAGAAAGAAAAATAAGGATCCCGCTAGTGAGTTGGACGAGTCCAGCATTAAATCTTGATTTACCAGGTAGGTCACCGTCATTGACGTGTGCTGGTATGAGACGATCAATGCTGACTGTGTCCATCAACCTTGAAGATCTTTTCGTGACAAGAGATCACGTTGAGAAATCCTTCGTAAGGTTGTTGAGTACCGAATCTACTCGTAAGAAAACTTGCGGACAGGTAAATAACTCTCGAAAGAGAGCAACCTGTCGATGTTATATTCGAGTTCACACGGGAGGCAGTATTCGCATCTACGCAGATAGTCGTTGGACGTTATATGATATACATAAAATCGCTGCTCCGTGGTGCGAAAAAATTCCCCAGACAGATGCAATGTCGTGCCGTATACAAGTTCGGAGGCGGAACGTTGGATATCTGCCGTTGCTGCTCCGTAATCGCCATGTCGTATCCAACAAATGCCATGTTTCTGCGAACCAAGTGGAGAGAGGAGTCTTAAGGACTGTGAGAAAGACGTGAATCGTGAATCGAATAACAATTTATAGTGCTGTAAGGAATCGATACCGAGTCCGGCTATGGGAACATCAGCAGGTATGAACGTCCATAGATACTATCGTCGATCATTCAGGTTGGTCGTTAGCCGTCGTGTACCGTAGGTAGGAATAACAGAGCCATTCGCAGTGCGTGGTCGAAGCATCGTAGCTTATGATTTACTGCTACCAAACGGTACGATAGAAACTTGGGCACTTGTGGCCACCAAGTACCTAGCGTTAGAGTGAAAATCGAGCACGTGAAATAAACTAACAACCTAGAGTGACGAGGAGGCGACAGGTGAAAATGAAATGACCTGCACCTCGGAGTCTATTATTATAGCTATCCACTATTTCGAAACGTTGTTGCAAGTATAATATATATTAAAGACATCATTAATAGTATTGCAACATTATAAAAATGGTGATAGATGAATAATAGACTCACCGTAACTGACTTCTTTAGAAGAAACGTCTACTTACCAGTTTTTGTGGTGAGCGAGTGAAGATACCGAATAGACTATGATCACCACTAAATGTTACATACTATCCCGTCATTTAAATCAAAATAAATACATGTTCTATTATTTTGAGTAGGCATTGAGAGTAGGTATTACATGGAGGCAGCGCATTTAGAAAAATGGCAGCAACGTGAAGAGCACGTTGCGCGAAAGAAGTGTTTTCGGTACAGTTAAACAAAACGAGTACAATAATGTTTATTTTTCACAAATCTTATTTTCTTCGTAGGAGCGTTACCCTACAGCGTATTTTCACACTTGTAGATCCTCGAGATCTATAATACACCGAGGCTTTACTTTATTCTGCACTAGATTTGGAGACTATCTGACTTTGACGTAACGATTTAGGATCATGTTTTCTTTATTCTGGAAAACTTAGAGGACATGGCAGGAGCGTACAGAATTCGCGGATGAACCAATTACCCTTGGAATTCATGTTTTTGCTGTAGGCCATCAACTTCCAGAACCTGTTACCAGAGGGATTTTTGTCAGCGCTTTACGTTGATACGTCCAAGAGAAGACTATACACTCTCAGAAAAATACTAATACAGGCAGCAGACTTTCTGTCCTCAACATCCTAATATTTGTTGGCATTATATTGCCGCGGTCAAATGAATTAAGTTGTCCTGACTGTATTATACTGTCAGACTTATGTTCATTTCGCATCCAGTTCATCTAAATGGAAGGCACACCATAGGTAATTTGACCCTACGATCGGTATTATGATGTTCAGCGGGAAGACAACCTTTTCAAGGTTACGCCATCGGTTGGGTTTCACGTGGTTTTGGAGAATTCTCGTTACTGAGCTGCGCTGAATAAAGAATGGTCAGGAAATGCATGAGTAAATAATATTTCTACCCATATTACCATATCTGTAGAAAACAAAAGTAAACGAGTGACGTGTCACAAACGATACAAAATTATCAAGAAGGTAATCATATCGATATTCGTTGAAATTCTGGTTAGGTGAAAGAGCATCATCGCAAGTTACGTAAGGAAGCAAAAAAGAATTTGAATCGACATAGTAGGTTTTATAAAGATTACTTACCAATGGTTTCAGAAAAAGATCCAGGTATCCCAAACATTCTACCCTTCAAAGAAAGTTTTCTAAAAGATGTTGCTGAGGCTAAGATAAAGGTAATGTATTCTACGTTTGGTAAATGGCTTAGCTAGAAGAAGCAAGACTTAAAAATCTGGAATACTCGCGAACGTATAAGCCTCCGAAACACGAAGAGATAACTCCTTCTGCAGTTCAGCACGACGTTAAAGACGTCATAAACCAATCTGATGTTATATTGGAGGTATTAGATGCTCGTGATCCATTGGGTACACGCTGTCCAGATATAGAAAAAATTGTCCTTAGTGAAAACAAACGTTTAGTCCTGCTCATCAATAAGATTGGTAAGTGTTTCCTAGGTAACCGCTCTAGATCTTGTCCCACGGTCTAACCTCGAGGCTTGGGTAAATTACCTACGCAAACACCACACGGTCATCACATTTAAAGCAAATACTCAGCGTCAGAGTAACCATCTGTCTTATGGAAAACCATATCTTCTCAAGGATGGAAAAATGTAAGTTTTTAAAATCGTTATTTGTTCAGGCCAGCGAAAGGATTCGGAACTTCTGAATTATTATCTTTGCTTGCAAACTACTCGCGCGATCCAAGCTCTGATCAATCCGACGCAAATAGCCGTATTAGCTTGACTGTTGGTGTTGTCGGCCTTCCGAATACTGGCAAAAGCGCACTCATAAATACACTAAAAAGGCAAAAAGTGTGCGTCAGTGGTAATGTTCCTGGTTTAACACGGTATTTGTTGATGTTTCCGTGATTGTATATTTAGCCAGCCTCAACGCGTACGAATTGACAAGAATCTATTTCTTCTCGATACCCCGGGTACCTTGGTTTCAAAATCATCTGACGCCTCAGATCTTGTATTGAAAAATTGCATAAAGGTACGTAATATTAAGAAAAGCCTTTGCAGTAACATCCTTTTTAAAATGGTTTATATCAGTAAATCAAAACTGTTATAAATTCTGATTCAAATGTGGGTCAGTAGAACGAGATGATCGTATAGTCGATTCAGTCGTAGTAATCACGATTGTAGAAAAGATTAAACCTTAAAATATGGTTCGGATAAAAAGAATAGCGCTGGTATGTATGTTAAATTATTGGAACTCAAAATTTTAGGAAAAATTAAAGGCCACTATCACTTTTTGATTTGCTTATCTTTAACTTTTCCCCAACCTACTAAGTTAGGCGACATTATTCGTCCGCATGGTCATCACGGTCATGTAGTTTGTCTAAAGCGATTAGTCAATCTGTTAGCCTCAAGAGTGTGATGTATTTGCATCACTCGAATACTTGTCGAGATATTTTATGTGAAAACTGATAAACGTCGACTAAGTGAAATTTTACGTAAATATATGATAATTGACATCAAAGGATATAAAATCTGGTACAACATGGAAAGGGTAGCAATCCGTCTCCACCAAAAATAGTTCGAAGACTACCAGGGCATATTTAAAGTTACAACAGTCTGTTTCTCAACAAATAAAGGAGTTTTTTAGATCTAAAAATTAGCGTCTAACAATTTATGTACAGCGTTTTAAAGTCTGTGTTAGTGTCGATTTCGTGCTTCTTTTCAATTACAAACTTTGCTATCCCTTGTGTTCATCTAAACGTTTGACACTAATTCTATAAACCATTCAAGCTCTTGTTCCTTAACCTTTGGTTGGATTACTCCTGTGTGAAACAGTGGGCTTAGTTATCTCTAATAACAACAAATTTGGCGAAGTGTACTTTCTCGATGACTGCTTTCAACCTCAAAATCATGCTATTGGACTTGAAATGATCAATAAATTTGAACCCTTGCCTTCACAATAAAACTGAACTAATAGCTGCCCGGGAACTCATCCCATCTGGTTCTGAATACAATCATGAGCAGAAGCAGCTTAAGTACAGGTTAATAAAAAAGCCTGTACAATGATCGCGGGTATTGTTTGGTAGCCAAAGAAGAAGGGATAGGAAAGGCAGTGGCTACAGGTCATAATAGACAATACTTCTGACTCATCAAATAAAAATATATTAGAAATAAATGGAACTATTATTCACTCTCAAACCAGGGGACTAAACCGACGGGCAGAACACTTTAAGCAACAGTTCAACTAGCCTTCAGTCATATATCAGCTGCCCAACATCTCGAAGCAATCCAACTCTTAGTGAGGTTGAAAAGGCTATGGGCAATCTAAAAAAAAGTGAGAGCACCGGGCCTGACAGACTAACCGCCTAGATTCTTTTAAGGATGGTGGTCCAGTTTTGTCAGTTAAATTAACTGGGATCTTAGCGAGGGTTTGAGAACTGGACGTAATCCCACGTAACTGGTCTCGATCTCTGATTGTTCCAGTCTTTAAGAAAAGACAAAAATTCTCTTGTGACATTCAATGAGGAATCAGTTTAACTAATATAATGTCTAAAATATTAGCTTCAATAATATTTCGATGCCTAATTAGAACTCACAAAAAGTGAATTTGGTAAAAAAAAGCCTGGTTTCAGACCCTGGACGTAAATGTATAGACCATATGCTCACACTTCGTCAGGTCCTAGAACATAAACACATTTCGACGTCCCACAATAGTTGTATTCCTTGACCTTAAGGCATCGATTAACTCTGTAAATAGTGAGGTTCCATGGCAATATCTGTCAATTAAAGGTGTACTAGACAAGGTCCTTAACCTTGTACAAACTCTTTACTATAACACTGATAGTCGGGTCAGTGCTTATGGAAAATTGTGGTTGGAATCGATTACTACAAGTGGTGTTCTTTCAGGCCTCGGCTTTCTCCATTTGTATTTAACTATGTCATGGGCATGCTTTTGGAGGTAACACTTTCATCGTTCGACTTTTCAGGGGTCGACCTACCAGAAAATTCGTCTGTTGACTTGCAGATGGTGTAGTTCTGTCTGTTAAAGACGCTGATAAATGCACTTTTCTGACCACATTAAGAAACAACCCTAGCACGTGTGGAATGCGATTCTCTCCCTCTAGATGCAGTGTTGTTTTAGGATTGTCTTGGGAGTGAAGTAGTTGGGCGTATTATCCATTCTACTGATCTTGGAAGTTTCATCAGTCTTGATAATCTGGTGTGTAACAAAATCACGGCATAGACACAGAAGGTTCGGTTGGCTTTTGGCAACCAAAGGACCAGTTATCTGCGCAGCAGTTCGCTCGTTGTACTTTAAACATCAGTTTATGAAGTCACTGACGATTTGATTGAGCCATGTTAATAAACGTTGACTGCCTGGCAATCGTTACCAGTGATCAGAGACTTTGAATAACATGGCTCAAAATCATTGGCACTGGTGCAGTTGCATCCATTCTGTCTTCCACCAAATTTTAGGCTTCTGAGTTCCTCATAATTTTTCTTTTTTCTGTCTCACTGATTTGTGTTTCCTTGAATCATATCTTCGATCTCCCCAGTGATGATGTAGCTACCTCTACTTCTCTAGGGTTCGACCTGACAATTACATCTCTCTATGCTACTTAGGGCGTGGAAACTTGAACTAATCTATGCACGTACCAAGTTGTACCTCGCATATAACTGATTGATTTCCTTACACTTCAATTATGTTCTTGCTAGGAATAAACGGTTTTCAGGGTGTAGTTACTGCAAACAACTGCCATTATCCGTTCATTGAATTGAAACCATCAAATGACTCGTTTTGGAGACCTTACCTATTCAGGCGTTGAAATCACCAGCTACGATTACTACTTCTGGCTTTCTAATGAATGTTAGAAAGCTTCCTGTTAAACTCGTTTCTTATCGCATCCGAGCTGTAGTCAGTGTAGTGTAGTGTAGTTAAAAATGAAAAACAAGTAACCTCATGTGTTATTATACAAATACTAGTTGCTGACAACTTTTCAACGAATGTTAAAAAGATATCGCACAATAATAACTTATCAAATTTAGTTGTCTTGAAGTTCGTTCCCTTTGTGAGTTTAATTGAGGCTAGGACAAGAAGTTCATTCATCATTGTTCTGGCTTTATTTCAGTTTAGCTCAACTGTCTGTCCATCCATCACGTGGTGATAGTTTTTATTGGATTCCAAATTACCATATTAGACTACATATGATCAATAGCGTATCATCCCGGTGGGATATTTTTTTTACCGTTAAAACATGCTTTAAAGTCAATTTTTAAAAGTAGAGTGTTTACCATAGTGTATATATGAAATCACTTAGGTCTCTGACCTCTGTCAACAATCGTCTCATCGTAGTTAACATTAGAAATACGTTTTGTCATCAGTCAGTAATTCTGTAATTGTTTGTTTTTTTCTAAAACTTTTTAACAGCCAGAAATGCTTTCTGATCCTGTTCCAGCTGTTGAAGCTATATTACGTCGTTGTTCACAAGAGCAATTAATTTCTAAATATAAAATTGACCAGTATAATAATGTTTCGGACTTTCTAGTTAAATTAGCACATCGTTTGGGTCGATTGAAAAAAGGTGGTGTTCCAGATACTACCATGACAGCACGTTCTGTAATTAACGATTGGATTACGTAAGTTATTTATCACTGTGACATAATTTTTCAGTGGAAAAATCACTTACTTCACGGAGCCTCCGTGTACTGATACTGTAGAAGAAGACATCAATTTATCTTTAAAAGGTAAGTTGATATTTTCTACAGAGCAGTCAGAATGATTACTCACCATAAAGCTTTTTTTTTATTCAAACTTCATCATAATTTACGTTTCTAGGACAGTTTTTTTTTGAAATTTTTCTAAAACAAGTGATACGATACCCATCCTCACCGCCCGTCGATCTTTCGAGCTCTGTGGTAATAATTTACTACTCCGACTTGTATACTATTAACTGAACTACTTGTATTCTCTAGTTAGGGGCGGCCAGACCAAAACATGGCAGAAATCCATGAAGTCATTGACTAGTGGACTGAGCCATGTCGGTAATTGTCGACTACCTGGGTGGGGTCCGCGAGATGATAATAATCGATGGTTAGAGACCTTGAATGACATGGCTCAAAATCGTTTGCAGTGGCACCGGTGCATTTATGCTTTGTGTTCTCTCAAATCCTAATCTTCTAGATTCTTTAACACCTCTAGTTTTGACTTTCTAAACTTTTCTCACTGAATCATACTTCTTGAATAATATCTTCTAACCCTAACCTCTCCGATTACTTCTAATTCCCTTACTACCTCTACTACTATTGGATTTGAATTGACAATTACATCTCTGTGCTGATGTGGTATGGCAACATGAACTGATGTACTTACATACGAAGTTCTACGTTGCAACTGACTGACTGACTGATTCACTGTAGCAGCCTAATTGATATTAATCATCTTTTCATCAGTTGTAGTTTGAGACTGCATTTCCTAAACGAAAAGTTTCCTTTGTTATGCCCCAAAAAGTTTGAATAGAATGTAAGGATCCTAGTAGTCGATGAAATCGTTTATTATTTTATCATACTATCAATGAATACATGATTCTGTTGACAACGTAAAACACAGTTGACAGATCGGTTACGACCCAGATAGCTCAATGCTAACGTGTCTGACCGTGAAGTGGGGTGATACCGAAACAAATCACCTAAGGAGCATCAGTTCCCTCAAGATTGGAGGTACACTTTGCTGATGAGTCTCAATTAGCACAAAACATAGGCCCAAGATTTCTTGTTGACTGATTCCAACCACCACCATAGAGCCGAACTGTCCCATGTAGTCAGTATAAGCTCATATGTATCAATAGGTACATTTCGATAATTAGTCCAATAAAAAGACTGCCACATTAGATGCAAAGGTGATGGTAAATACAGCAGAGTTCAATGGAACAACTGTAAACTTCAACAAAGAAGATCACTATACAGATAAATCCATGTTGGTTTCTTAGCTAATAAAAATCACCAAAACGAATCTCAAGGTGTATCTCTCTAACTGTAAATATTTTATGTAGGAATGTCATTCACATCTTATCCTTCTATTCAATTGTAAGCATGGAAAAATTTTGTGACACATTCTCCTTAAGTCCTTGTTAAGAGCGAGTTGCCCTAATGAGGTATGATAACTTAAACCAATGTACACATGTTCCAATTTCTACGTTGCGTCTTCTTGTTATCAGCCCAACATTCGCTTCATTATCTACGAATGTGACTGGCCAATGCTTAATACTGTCGCTAATGTATGTCATATATATATTGAGCCACCGCGTTTAAATACCTCCTTTGGGTCTCTAAATAATCTCCATTACCGCTAATATTTCTACTACCTTTACTACCATGGGATTTGAATTGGAAGTAGATGCAAACTGCCTCGACGAGCTTTGTTTTGCAGTGTAAGAGTAGGTTGGAAGAAAGCTAGGGGCGGTCAGTCCAAAACATGGCACAAATTCATGAAGTCATTGACAAGTGGACTGAGTCATGTTGGTAGTTGTCGACTACCTGGTTGGGGTCCGCGAGATGATAATAATCGATGGTTAGATACCCTGAATGACATGGCTCAAAACCGTTTGCAATGGCACAGGTGTATTCATTCTTTGTGTTCTCTCAAATCCTAATCTTCTGGATTCTTCAGCACCTTTAGTTTTGTCTCTCTACATTTTTTCTCACTGAACCATATTTCTTGAATATCTTCTAATCCTAACCTCTCCGATTACTTCTAATTCCCTTACTACCTCTACTATTATTGGATTTGAATTGACAATAATATCTCTGTGCTGATAAGGTATGGCATCATGAACTGATGTATTTACGTACAAAGTTCTACGTTGCATCTGACTGACTGAGATGCAAACTACCTGATTGCGGTCCGTGCAATGGCGGTCATTATTGGCTAGAGACTGTGTAACGGCTAATAATCATTCACCAGAGTGCGGATCCACTCACTCTTTATCTTCTTCTCAATCTTGAAATGCCAGTATATTTTCATGCATACTTTCCCGTCCTTATTTTCAAACCATATTCCTAATGTTTCGCGTTTCTCGTTATAATTACTCTTACGTGTGATACTCAAGCAAGCAGACATATAACAAAGATTGTCAATCAAATGTTTACTTGGCACAAATCATGGTAACACTTAACATTATACTAGCCAAATTTTTTGAAACTGACGAAATATTTTGGTGATAGTTGTCGTGATCTTAACTATCCAGACAGAATTAGCCAACCTACGAAGATATTCGTAGGTTGCTGGTTTTTGGATCATAGGTGTCTCCGAAGAATTGTTCGTCGATCGTGGGACAACCGAGTAAGCAATGCTGTTGTTTGGAAACCGGTACTAGGTAAGGTCGGCAGGTCAATAGATGAAGTATTGAAACTTCATCAATTGGGGTGGTTAGGACATGCCTTACGTGTGCCTAACCACCGACTGCCTCGTCGAGTTATGTTTTGTGGTGTAGAAGTAGAGGTTGGAAGAAGGCGAGGGGCGGCCAAACTAAAACATGGCACAAATCCATGAAGTCACGGACAACTAGATTGAGTCATGTTGGTACGTGTCGACTACCTGGTCGGGGTCCGCGAGATGTTAGTAATCGATGGTTAAAGACCCTAAATGACATGGTTCAACACCGTTTGCAATGACGCAAGTGCACTTACTCTTTGTGTTCTCTTAAATTCTAATCTTCTGAATTCCTCATCACCTTTATCTTTTCCTTTTTAAGTTTATTACACTAGATTCTACTTTTTGACTAATATCTTCGAACCCTAATCTTTTTGATTATTGCTAATACTTGTACTACTATGGGATTTGAATTGACAATTGCATTTCTCTGTGCTAATGTGGTAATGGCAACTTGAACTGATATACGTACGTACGAAGTTCTATGTTGCTATTTGATTGATTGATTGAACTGGATTGTTCTAATAGGATGCCTTGCGCAGAGCGATTCATTTATCATAACTAGCCTAGGTTTTCTGATGATCTAGATAATTGATTGTATTTATAAATTAGTGTGAGATATGAGTTTTTTTCAAATGCTTTGTAATTTTTATACTTTTCAGATCATGCAATGGATATCACTGAATTTCCTACAGATTAATGAATTCAAATGTTTAAAAGTGTAAATATAACATTGTTTTAATGAATTTTTCTTTTTTGACCTGATAAATATTGATTTCAAGTTTAATTTATCATGTGTGAGACCAGTAATCGTTGTAATCTTGTACCGGATGCAGTTGTATTCGTCGTTTCCAATGTTGTGGTCCATTTTTAATTATGTAATTAGATTTTTCCCTAGTTAAAAGATTACTACTACTAACAATTATGTTGTGCCATGTGAATTAGTGAGGAATTCTTGTTTATTTCTAATGTGATTGATTTCCAACAAGATGAAATTCACCTGCAAAACTGATTACTCAATGTTTTTATTTAGGTAGTGTATACTATAAATGAGGTCATTGCGATCACTCGACATTTGAAAACTAAGAAACATGCATTAAATGCTGGTGAGTGAATTGTGGACGCCGACTTGGTGCCTTCTAGTTTTGCGATACATAGTCTGCTACAGATTCAATCTATTTGTCTTTGAGCTAAATTCTTTATTTGTCTATCTTATTCATGTGTAGTGGTTAGTGGTGTTTTTTTCTTAGAGAAACAGTTGAAAAATGCATGGTAAATTTTTCGGAGTAAAGAATCGTAGTCATGATAATACTTCATCACAGCTAGATAAGCATGATTAATGTAGTTTTTGTGTTTTTAACATCACAGACAAACCAGTTAAGTATGTGAGGTCGAAAGACAGCCAAAAATCAGAACTTACAATGACATAAACGGTTGCCCAATAAATACACTGAAAAGTTAATTAATCCAATAATGAGTATAACATTTTCCCTGTTATATTCACTAACATGCAAGAATGAGTTGTCTCGACGCAACAGGCCACTTGGCCCCAACCGTAAGGAAGACAAATACGTGAGTTCGATTGTAACTGAAGAAGAAAACTAGTCTATTATCGACCTACGATCTAATAGGTTGGCGATTTAGCTGGAACGTTTACTAGATTTATTTCTGATTCAGACCAACTCGAAAAGGTACATAAATAAATATGTGACTAGTGAGACCACAAAGAGTAAGAATCCAATTATGTTCAAGTTAGTACATTGGAATAAAGAAATGGAGTATGAACGTCAGGTTTAAATCATTGTCATATAAAGGACTATGACTTATCCAATAAACGAAAGCTCGTGATTCATAGAATGAAACAAATAATGTGATGTCAGTTCTATGCAGAATTTGAAATAAGTGAAACAATGCTGTAAGAAATAGTTTTCGCTGTTTTCTTATTTCTCTTTCTACATCATTTCTATGTTACAAAAGTTGTTCAGTTAAGTGCATGAAGAGTATCTAATCACATACTTTATGAAGTGTATATGTAATCATAGTGATGTAATGAATTCACTGCTGTAAGTTTAAACAGCATTCATGTTGTACTGACAAACATAACTAGAGAAAACTAGCATTTTTAGTAGGAATAAAGTTTATCTAGAAAATTAAACGAAGAAGGCTTTACGAGACGACCATTCAGCGGGAAGTTTAGGCATTCGGGCAATATCCGAGCGTACATACTCAGAGATTTGTATGGCGCATCTATGTTTCGGTGACCCTTTGTACCAATAATTGCGTTCAAATAACTAAATACATCATTGATTTTTAATGTAATCCTAAGATTGATCTAGTGAATACAAGTCTATATCTGTTCACTGACCAATTCAATTCATTATTATCCCGTTGAAATCAGTTACAGTCACAGGAAATATATATGAATAATGCTAAGCTTACCAAGGGTTATGAGGCCATTTAGAATGTTTAAAGTGACTGTGACTAGTTCTAATAATTCAAACCAAGTTTATTATTACGTTAAAAAATACATATGATAAGTTAACCAGTCAGCTGCAACGAAGAGCTTCGTACGTACGTACGTACATCACTTAACGTTGCCATGCCACAACACTAGCATAGACACGCAGTTTTCAATTCAAATCCCATAGTAGTAGAGGTTGTAGAAGTATTAGCAGTAATTGGAGAGATTAGGGTTCGACGATATTATTCAAGAAGTAGAATCTAGTGAAATAAACTTAAAAAGATGAGGAATTTAGGAGGTTAGGGTTTGAGAGAACACAAAGAAGGAATATGATTTTCGAAACATGACATTCAAGGTCTCTAACCATCGATTATTATCATCTCGCGGACCCCAACCAGGTAGCCTACATCTACCAACATGACTCAGTCCACTTGTCCGTGACTTCACGGATTTCTGCCATGTTTTAGTTTGGCCGCCCCTGGTTTTCTTCCAACCTACTCCTACACTACAAAACATAGCTTGACCAGGTAGTCAGTGGTTAGGCACACGTAAGGCATGTCCTAACCACCTCAACTGATGAAGTTTCAATACTTCACCTATTGATCTGCTATCCTTACCTAGTACTTGTTTCCTGATAACAGCGTTGCTCACTCGGTTGTCCCACGATACACGAGCAATTATTCGAAGACAGCTAGGATCGAAAACCGGCAACCTACAAATATCTACTCTGACTGGTCATCTTTCGCGATTGTAAAGTAAGACAGAGTGAACTGCTGCGCAGTACACCCGTCCTTTGGTTAGCAGATGGATATCTCGCTTACGTGATAACTAACGCAAGTTAGCAAACGTCAATCGAGCCCTCGGTATCCTTGCTGAGATTTCGTCAGTCACCAGGCCACCACTGATGAGACTCCCCAGATAAGTTAACCAGAACCATCTTGATTTTGTCGCTAGATGCACAAGTTACATACAATCCAGTATAGTTGCGTATTAGCTATCTTTCGCATGAACACAAAAGTAAAAAAATGAGCTAAAATATAGATTAAATGAGATAATCAAGGGGACGCTATGTCCATGATCTATCGGAATTACTGATAAATATACGTAACTGAAATTCAGTCCCATGTCATCTTAAAAAGCGTCCGCATGATGTTATATTTAAACCTGATCACTGCTAAGCTTTTTTTGACTTATTCATATGGTACCGTGTCATGCATGAATGAACGGTAACTGAGTATAAATAACGATCGAGGAATATCTGGAACTCAGAACGACTGTCAACCAGCACCAAAGTCACAATTCCCAGTACAAACACGTCAAGACAGTTCTACCGTGTGGAGAGAAAACTTGAAGAAACAGGAAAGCCATCACCTAAAAGATACAGGCGTTTATTAAAATTTTTCTACACAAGTTACTGAGAATCTGTCGGCCAGACACCATCGGCAGCAACCTGCTGCGGGACAGAATAAACCAGATTCCAGTGGAGGAAGAGGCTTTGGTGGTGGATAGGACACATATTGGTGGGAGCACCCAACTACATCACGAGGCAAGCTCTGACTTGGAACCTCCAAAGTCAAAAGAAAGGAGGATGATCAAAGAACTTGAACCGATGTACGTACCTACGAAGTTCTACGTTGTAACTTACTGATTGAAAGAATACACTACACCTAGAATCGGAGATAGACATGGATAGTGATTAAGTAGAGCTGGAAAGGAGAGTTCAAGACAAAGTTGGTTGGAAAATGCTGGTCAGCAGTCTATGCTCCCCGAAGGGTAAAGGCGTAAGTAAGATCATAAATAACGTGTTCCAGCCTCCACTAGTAGTGGAATTTTACAACTACATTAACCTGTATACTACGCTAGGGAAGCGATTGGTTAATGGCTACCCAAAACTTAGCGAGCTTCATTTTCAAGAATACTAATACCCTTTACTTGTTTTCATACCCGACTGCAGTGATTAAAATTGAAACAATAAGTTTTTTAGATTATTACAGTCAAATATAATTCGAGAACTTTTGCAAGAAATAAGAAAATCACATGTTTAGAGCTCAATATTAAATACATGTTTGTAAGTATTTGAAATTTCACACAAAAAGTATTCGACAACAAATTAAGCTCAGTTGCAATCTATTTTGTCCAAGAAACTTTCTGAATATCGAAGTGTTCAGTAAGAGTACTCAGATAATTGTTAAATTCAATTATTCTTTGTTTATGAGATTTATCTGCCTTTGATAGTACAGATTCAAATATACGTTTATCTCGACGTTTCTCCCATTCTATCTGTGATTTAGTTAGATTTTTATATGTAGGCTTTGAATTATTATTATTCAATTCTTTGACAGTTTCGTCGTTTGGATTAATTTCAGTGGTATTGACAGTCACCACTTCAAGGTCGTTTGGTGCTAATTTTTTAGCATGCTTTTTCTTTTTTCTAAAACAGAAAGATGTATAATAAGACTATCTACTTACTTTTTTATTCCTTGGCCAGATTTCAATTTCAGAGAACTACATAAAACATCGTCATAATCTGACATCTGTTAGGTAGCACAGTCAAAAGCAATTTTTGTAGAATAGAAAGGACACTGAGATTGTTGAATCAAAAATTACTTAATCGACTGGAATCTAAAAAGGAAAATTCTATCTTAGTTATTATTGTATTAGCCTGCAAGCTATCATATGTAAATTTACTCGAATATCTTTGTAAATAAAGAGTTGACGTATATTAACGGACAAAAAATATTTTAGCGAAAAACGGCTGGGGAATTTTGATTTTAGCCATACATAGAACCAGATAAGATTTTTCGCCGCTATCCAAGTCATAGAAAGTTTGGTAAAAGCTCGAAGAGAAGTATTCTAAACAAATCCGTTACTATTATATCGTTTGAGTCTATTGTTTTGATACATGTCAGTTAATTTCTAAGTATATTGTTTTTATTTTGAGATCAAGTTGTACAAACTTAATTGCAGTTTTCTATTAGTTGGCACTGGCGTTTGGCAGCAGTTAATCGCATTTTGAGTCGTATTCCGAATAAGGGTTATCATTTCTTATTTTAATAAAACAGACTATAGATTTTCTTACTGGCATCATTTATAACAGTACTAATCATGAGGTGAATGCGTTAGTTTGCTTACGGTGGACTGAAAGTTTTAGAAGACTGATATATTGATTTGAGATACGGGAAACCCATAGACAGATTTATCGGGAAATTTTTTCTGTATATATATACTATTGAAGAAAACGTTCGTTAAAATCAAGACTTACAATCGTTAATTGATATTAAGTTAATTTAACAAAAGTTATTCTAAACGATACACTGAATTTTCGTAAAATATACCGCATGTTGTGCGCCTTTTGGAATAATGTCTAAATCATCAGAATCTATGCCAACAAGTCGAATCTATACACTCAAAAAAGTTATACAATCCAATTTTTTCGTAATGTCTATTAAGTGTCTCACTAGAATAGGTAAATGAAAACACATTATTATTTTTCTTTTCGAATTCCTGTGTTATTTTGTGTCAACAAATGATTGTAACATTCGCTTCATCACTTTAGTATGGCAACGTGAACTTATGTACTTACGTACGAAGTTCTACGTTGTAACTGACTGACTGACGTGAACACTGGAGATTATCAAAAAAGAGCTTTCAAGTAACATTCTTGACACGATATTTGTGATTGTTTCATCGCTTGATAACTACAATGTTTTTTTAGCGTTATTTAGTTTTTTTTTTTAAATTTTCATACTGCTACTTAGCTTTGTGCAATATTATTCGTCAGTCAGTCAGTCAGATGCAACGTAGAACTTCGTACGTAAGTACATCAGTTCATGTTGCCATACCACATCAGCACAGAGATGTAATTGTCAATTCAAATCCAATAGTAGAAGAGGTAGTAAAGGTATTAGCAGTAATCGAAGAGGTTAGGGTTAGAAGATACTATTCAAGAAGTATGATTCAGTGAGAAAAGTTTAGAGAGTAAAAACTAGAGGTGTTGAAGAATCCAGAAGATTAGGATTTGAGAAAACACAGAGTATAAATGCACCGGCGCCATTGCGAACGATTTTGAGCCATGTCATTCAAGGTCTCTAACCATTGATGACTTTCGTCTCGCGGACCCCAACCAGGTAGTCAACAACTACCGACATGACTCAGACCATTTGTCAATGACTTCATGGATTGCTGCCATGTTTTGGTTTGGCCGCCCCTAACTTTCTTCCAATCTATTCCTACACTGCAAAACATAGCTCGTCGCGGCAGTCGGTGGTTAGCCATACGTAGCACATGTCCCAACCACCTCAACTGATGAAGTTTCATTACTTCATCTATTGATTTGCCATCCTTACCTAGTACTCGTTTCTTAACGACAGCATTGCTTACTCGGCTGTCCCACGATATACGAGCAATGCTTCTTAAACATCTATGATCGAATACTAGTAATCTACGAACATCTACTCTTAACGGCCATGTTTCACAGCCATATAAGAGAACGGAAGGAACTACAATATTATTCGTCCCGCATATCACCGATATATCGGTCAGATTACACCAGTAAGTCGACTTGAACTGTTAATTATTAGCCATTCTTCAGTATTACGAATAGGTCAATTGACCAATATCGACCAAAATACAAGCTATCTTTGAATGTATCAATAGGTGATGATATTACGTGCTCTGACAAAGAATCCCTGAAATTCACTATTAGATTAG